TAAAATATCTTTAGTCTTTAGCCACTGCTTTAATAAACTTTAACTGCCCGGACGAAAATACCCTTCTGCTCATGTCCTTAACTTTTGAACTTAACTTCAGGACTTCAGGACTACATGTCCTTAACTTTTGAACTTGGAACTCTAAGTTCAGGACTCAGGACTACATGTCCTTAACTTTTGAACTTGTAACTCTAAGTTTAGGACTTCGGAACTACATGTCCTTAACTTTTGAACTTGAAACTCAAACTTCAAGACCAAACGTCCTTAACTTTTGAACTTATAAGTCAAAGTTAAGGACCTATTGTCCTTAACTTTTGATCTTGTAACTGTAAGTTAAGGACTGTCTGTCCTTAACTTTTGAACTTGTTAGTCTAAGTTCAGGACCAAGTGTCCTTAACTTTTGAACTTGTAAGTCTAAGTTCAGGACCAAGTGTCCTTAACTTTTGAACTTGGAATTCAAAGTTAAGGGCCAAGTGTCCTTAACTTTTGAACTTGGAATTCAAAGTTAAGGGCTAAGTGTCCTTAACTTTTGGAACTTGTAAGTCAAAGTTCAGGACCAAGTGTCCTTAACTTTTGAACTTGGAACTCAAAGTTAAGGACCAAGTGTCCTTAACTTTTGAACTTGAAACTTGAAGTTCAGGACCAAGTGTCCTTAACTTTTTAACTCTTTCTTTTGTATCGAGGATCATCGAAATAAGCAAGAATATTATTTCGACGGAAAATACCATTTGTTCCAATTTTTGCCTCTTCTTCTCCCTCTGAATCAAACTTCTCCTTGCCATAATGGTTGAATTCCTATTGTATCATGTTGTAACTAAAAGTTAAGGACCAAGTGTCCTTAACTTTTGAACTTGGAATTCAAAGTTAAGGACCTATTATCCTTAACTTTTGAACTTGGAACTCAAACTTCAGGACCTATTGTCCTTAACTTTTGAACTTGTAACTGTAAGTTCAGGACCTATAGTCCTTAACTTTTGAGCTTGTTAGTCTAAGTTAAGGACCAAGTGTCCTTAACTTTGAACTTGTAACTCTAAGTTAAGGACTGCATGTCCTTAATTTCTATGCTTGTAACGCTAAGTTAAGGACCAAATGTCCTTAATTTTAGAACTTTCAACTCTAAGTTCAGGACCCACATAAAAAATAAAAATAAAAGAGAATTTGATTCATTGAAATATGAAAACTCAATTGGTATTCTAGCAACTAATCTTCCACTTCCAAAAAACAGCGTAAGACCATTAATTTACTCCACAAAGTGTCTTCAAAACCTCTTTCAACAAATACTCCATTTGCACTAATTTTTGTTTGTGAATATCTCAAATAGAGAAAAGAGAAACACTTGTTTGTATTTTCCTTTTCCTTTTCCTTTTCCTTTTCTTAAATTTTTCAGCTAAAAATTATAGATTAAATGAACTAACTTCCTCTGCAAGAGCCACGCCCAGCTTGTTTAGTTCTTAATCATGAAATCAGAGCCAATGTATTCGATGCAGAGTGAGAAGCGAGGGTTTAAGAAGAAAAGCAATAGAAGAAAGGGTAAAAATGTCTTGTCATATTAATTTTAATAGAGTAGTGGCTATTTTTGCTCAACATTAGAATTGCTGGATAAAAAATAAATACCACCTTAAAATAGTGGCTACCCCATGCCATCTTTACGTTGTATTAACCTTGGGCATTTGCTAGCAGAATGGGCTTCGACATAGTCCCATAATACTTTGAAGGGATATTTTCCTTCATATACAATATTTGAAAGTTATTTATCAAAATTGTCACCAATTTATCCGCCATAAACAAGGATTGCTTACAATTTATATACAATCGATTATTAGTGCCTTAAATTGGGGGATTCGGTTATACCCTTTTCCTTTTTTCTCTTCTATCTTCTTTCTCTATTCTCTCCATGTACAATCCAATATTAATACCTTAAATCGGGGGATTTTATTACACCCGAATTTATAATCCAAAAATATTCAGTTGTGATCACAAGCAAATTAAAACGAGATCAAATTAGAAAGTCACAAACAAACAATACAAGAGATTACGTTTCGAATTAGTACTAGTCATTCGCGACTGTTAAAAAATAAAAACAGAAAAAAGGAGAAAACACAATACTATCATTCAATCAATATATGGACTTTAATTGTTAAGTTTACTTGACGGCAATGTACCTCTCAAAATCTAGATAGGAATAATAAGCCATGTAATCTTGCATTTTCCTTTTTGAACTTTGAAGCTGACACTACTCCTACGAGAGATTAAGTAAAAACGGCAAAAAATCGTCAATATAAGAGAAGGTTAGTTTAATACTAATCTTAAACGAAAATTAATTTGGTAAATGAGAAAGTCACAAATAAAACGATAGGAGAGAGGATGAAATGCTAATTATGATCAGATGTGTCACGACCCGAATTTCCCATCCTCGGAAGTCGTGATGACGCCTACTAATGAAAGCTAGGCAAGCCAAACAACTGAATTTAATTACCTTGATTCCATTTTAAATCCGTTAACAAGTAAGAACCAACCGTTAATGAACAACATAATTTAATAGGCGGAAGACTAAATTTCAAGTTGTAATAGTGCTACCAATATCAATCCATAACAAATCTACCCAAGACTGGTGTCACAACTTCACAGACTGTCTAAGAGTACTACAAATAAAGGTCTGAAAGAAATAACAAAATACTGTCTCTGGGATTACATAAAAGAAACAGGAATAATAGATAGAGGGAGACGCCAAGGCCTGTGGACGCCTGCAGGACTACCTGGGGTCGCCTGATGAACAAGGAGCAAAAATCTCACTGCGGTCTGAAATCTTCAGCACTGGGATCTGCACAAAAGAGTGCAGAGTGTAGTATCAGCACAACTGACCCTATGTGCTGGTAAGTGCCTAGCCTAACCTCGGCGAAGTAGTGACGAGGCTAGGACCAGACTACCAAATAAACCTGTGCAGATAAATAATGTACAGCGGAAAAAAAAAAGCAGAAATGTACACTCAAGGATGGGAAGGGAAAATATGCTGCGGGAAAATATTAGGTGGCAACAGGAAGACAGCAGGTAAATATAGGGAACACCATAATTCAACTATCAACAAGAATCAGAAATCAAACAAGTGCACGTCATCACCCTTCGTGCTTTTACTCTCATCCTCACCATAAAAATCAATATAAACTGCAAGGCATCACCCTTCATGCTTATACTCTCATCCTCACCATAAAACTCAATATAATCGGCAC